TAACGTTTGCTCAAAAATTACGGCCGGAACGGTGAAACGTATACAAACCGTCGAGAGTCGAGCAAATATGCCTCGGCGATGGGATCGCGCGAAAAATTGCCGCGATTTCGTGTCTTGAAGCGCAGCTTCCCCTTTAGAATCGCCCAAGATCCATCTTTCTCTCTCTCTCTCTCTCTCTCTCTCTCTTTCTTTCTTTTCACAACGAAGATATACCAAATGAACTTTCATAGTTATGCAAATTCACGGCAAAAGTTAGGAATAATAGAGCATCGTTAATCCCTTCCCCTCTCCGTGAAAAAGACTGATCGTAAGTGCGTTATCAAGTCGATGGATAGAAAGAGAGAGAGGAAGAGAGAGGGAAGGAGACCAAAAACAATCCATAGCTGCGGGGCTATTTCTTAGTTACAGGAGTTACGCGCCCTGAGGATCTCAGGCGGACCAATTACACCACTGTATAATTGTTCGAAGTTACGAGTTGCCGTTAACAAGTAACGTCGAGAGTACTAACGCGGTTCCGGTTTCTTGGCCCGAATAATTCCGCCGGACTGTACCGCCGTGAACTTTGCGCAGTCGTAAACAGAACCCCCGAAGAGAACGCCCGTGCCCTTTTGTCGCGTTTCCAAAGCAGGACGTACACGGTTGCGAAAAATAGACGTGCCGTAAAATGAAGCGAGACCGCCGCGCCGCGGCGGCGGTAATTTTTCTTCTCTCACTTCACTGGAAGCACGAGAACAATTGCGGAAGAGGTCGCGGGATGGGTTCTTGTCCCGGCGAGACAACGCGATAATCTACGACGATCGAGACAACGGCGCGAATTAGAATCGAAAGGCTTCACCGAGACATCGCTTGCAGAAGTTGGGCGGAGAAAACACAAAAGGGGAAAAATGAAAAAAGAGAGCCGTTCGTGATATTTATAGAAGGTCGCGACTAAAAATAATTGATGGGGAGAAATAACGCGCAACAGAGGCGCGTTCAGAAGTGAGAGTGAGAGAGAGAGAGAGAGAGAGAAGCGCAAAAAATCGCACACAAAAGCCACGCTAATAGAATATTAAATATTTAATTAAACATGGCTCTTTCTCTCTGATCGACCGAGGCCACTTGATTATCAGGGCACGAATTATCATGCGGCGCGAGAGGGAGCGGAAAGAAAGAGCGGGCGGGTAAAACAAAACGAGGGCCGATGAGAAATTGTGAGTGCGAGCGTTTAATAACGGCGTTTAATATTGCACGAGATTAATAATCCATTCTTCCAGTGTCATGCCACATTACGTCGATATATCGCTTGACAATGGCAAAGAAAAAAATTCAGCGGTCGCGTATGCATCAGCGTTGTACTCCGAGAGAGAGAGAGAGAGAGAGAGAGAGAGAGAGAGAGAGAGAGAGATAAACGGCACGAGAGAGAGTCGGCGCTCTCTCTCTCTCTCTCTCTCTCTCTCTCTCTCTCTCTCTTTCTTTCTCTCTCTCTGCTGTTATTTAAGCGCCTTTTGCCACCGCCGGTACGCCTTGCAATATTGATTTCGCGAGTCGCGCAAGCCGCGCACTGAATTTTTCACTTCCTTCAAATTAAACGAGAAATAAGGCTGCTTACGTCGTGTATATTCCCGCTCTTTAGAAACTTCTTATCCGCGTGCGCGCTCTCTCTCTCTCTCTCTCTCTCTCTCTCTCTCTCTCTCTTTCTCTCTCCCTTTAATTAATTCGCCCTACATCTCGGATCCTCGATCTAAGCCCACCGTCCAATATTCGCCGTAATTGTGGCCGTTAATGTAACATTTGTGTGTGTGTGTGTGTATGTGTGTGTATGTGTGTATGCGCGCCTGTGTTTGTGCACGTGTCACAGATAATCCGATATTTATGTACAGCAGCTTCGAGACGACGCTTCCGCCGAAGATAAACGCGATTGCTCGTGGAATCGCGTCAGTCGAGTTGGCCGATATTTTCGAAAATAAAGAGGAAAGCTGGGCGATAGGAAGAGGGGAGCGCGATCACGTCAGAGAAAGAGAGAGAGAGAGAGAGAGAGAGAGAGAGACGCTTTGTTGGCTATTGCCGGTCCTTAACGGCGCGCAATTTCGGGGACGAATAAAAGCGGCGCGACGAGCGTTCCCGAGCGGCACCACGTCGCGGAGGAAAGTGTAAGGGACAGGAGGAGGAGGAGGTCAAAGCACGATCCAGATAATGATTTGCCGAGTAATCCCCGACGAGCCTCATTACAGTTCGCCTCAGAGTTCGCCTCGGCCAATCGGGACTTTATCTCTGGCGTCATCGTTACAACAACGTGGCGTGCCAATCGATCCGGCCCGATATCGCGCGAACTTAAGCTGCAACGTTGGGAGCTTCCGGGTAAACTTTCCTGCGATTAAGACCGGTAATGTACGAAATTGCGGTGAGATAGCTGCGGCCCTTCCCCTCCTTCGCCGTCCTCCCCTTCCTCCCGACCCCGCCGTCGTGCCGGTTCTCTCCCCAGTCTTTCTCCGGGATTTCGACGCGGAGCAAGCGGGCCGCGTTTATCATCGATCGCGTTACTTCCACGTCGGCGCTAAGCAAGTGACGTCGCGGAGAATTAACGCGGCGTTTCTCGTTCTTTGCCGAATTACGCGTGAAATGTGCAATTGTCGGTATCGTCGGCTCGTTGAAACGCGCGCTTTTGTTTAGGCTGCCGTCGTAGACGGGCCATTGCCGCGAAATGGAGAAAATGGTCGGTGTCGAAAGGGAAGTGGCGTACCATCATCGAATCGTCATCCGGAAACGACCAAATCGCGGCGAAGAGAGCAAAAACGCGCCTTGTACGCGACTCTCTCGTTGTCCGTCGGAGCGATTTTCCGGAGCGGAGCGGAGGCCCGGCGGTTCGCCCGGGAGCGAAGCAGGATCGCCAGGCTGGTTCTGTGCTTTATTAATCAACGACGCGCGTTATCCGCGCAATATTCGCGTTTAATGCGCGAGCAAAATCGAAATGAAAAAATCGCGAGCGAATCACGGATACCACGATTATCGTCTGCCGCGTTGCTGAAATTTTTCGCCACTCGCGAGCGCGGCTGCGCCGCTAAAAATCTACGCGAGAAATATACCCGCCGCCGGCGGCGGCAATTCGCGAGTGTTCATCGATCATTCCCGAGTATGTCAGTTAATCGCCACCTGGAATCTCCGGAGAAAAAGGGAGGACATAGATGAAGTGACATAGGGGAAGTGAGAGAGAGAGAGAGAGGGGAGGGGGAAGAAATGGATAATTCGACGGAAAGGGAATCGAAATGAAAGAACTCCCGCGCTCATGTCGAACTTTCACCCAGAAGATCGACCCTGAGACCGTCGCGTTTCATTAATTTATTTATTTATTTATTTAACTTTTCATAGACCATCGTTGAGAGCCACGCGGCGCGGAAAGTTTGTCGGTCATCACTAGCGACCGTAAAATCCTGATCACGTCTATTACCGTTCGTGACTAGCAGTCGAATGTTTCGAGCGTCACTCCGTCAGTCAATTGTGTCGGTATAAAAAAATCGACAGTGAAACAGCAAGCGAATGAGGTGAAAAACGAGGGGTATCAGCGCAGGAGCTTAAAACGCGCCCGTGCAAGAATCGGTCTCGCGGCGGCGTCGTCTCCGCAACGACGGCGGCGGCGGCGGCGGCGGCGGCGGCAACGTCCGGCTAATAAAATCGACCGGCCTCACGCGCGCGTTCCGCGCTCTTTAACGAACAAGCGAACAAAAACATTCCGCCGCGACTCATAAATTCGACACTCCGCCGGTACTCCGTCGCGCCGCGCCGGCGCGACGCCCCTAAATCCCGGGCGATTTGTATTCCATTTCTCGCCGGCACAGCGGCGGTATTATTTGTGTCACACGGTATTATTTGTGGGACCGTGCGCGTTTCCCGCTAAACGTGCGCGCAATCAACGAAACGCTATTTATCGCGCGCGTCCGCGGGATATGCAAAAAGTAGATGTCGCGGTAATTCAGAGCGCGCGTCACGACGTGCGGATATTGTTTTTTCTCTCTCTCTCTCTCTCTCTCTTTCTCTTCCGTCCCCTCCCTCTTCGCGCGCCAATGTGCGCGATGTCGGGCGACTAGATCGCGCGCTCATTATGGATCAATTAGAGAGTTGGAGAACACGGACTTCGATCCGTGTCGAGTCAACGGCCGAGTCGCATTGCGGCCGTGTAAACCGAGACTCGGCTCGACTCGTTAATCGAGGACGGCTCCTTTCAATGCGTTCGCGAACGACGAAGGGAGCGACGATTCGCACGGTAAATTCGCGGGACGAAGAGAACACAGTACGCGCGCGCGCGCGCGAGAGAGAGAGAAGCCTCCTTCCTCTCCCTCCCTCCCTTTCTCTCTGTCTCTTTTCATCTCGGCGAAAGGCGGTATCGAGCCGTAATCGCTCGGCGAGGAAGAGCCCCACGTCTATTTTCACCGCTGGATCCGATCTCTCCGTGCTATATCTTCCCGCGAACTCGGTGGAAAACATAATTGGAAGGAGGACGAACCTAAGCACGTGTCCTTGTCCTCCGGCTCCGGTGTGCCGGAGGACTATTACCGGCAGGTCGATAATCCAATTTCGCGTGAAGCGAGACGATCGCGGAAGCCGTAAACGTACGTTGCCGGAAATTCGTACGCGGAAGAGAACGAAAGGGGATTTCCCTCCGATCGCTTCCTCACTCCCCGTTCCCTTCGCCCTTGCAAATATCGTGCCTCGTCGAAGTGTCCTTCGCCGTTTCGGCGTGACAATCTTTTCCTCCCACGATTCACCGCACGACACGCGCCGCGGAGAAACAAGAATGACTCTCTTTGTCTTCCTCCTCCTCCTCCTCCTCGTCGCACGAAGACCCAAACCGACTCCCCGCGAGCCGGAGAGAAGCGACGCCCCCCCTTCCCGCCTAGCGTCCTCCGTAGTGCTCCTCCCGGAAAAACTTCCGCGCGCTCACCCATCATCGGCGGTGCGGAGCAAGCGGAGAAAAATGGCGCAGCGTGAAATTGCGATCTCGCCATGTGGCTTCGAGAAATATTTACCTGCTGGCTCGTCCCACTCTCTCGTCCCGGCGCCCGTCGCCCTTTAATTAACGACAGCTTCGATCTTCGCAGCTTCCCTCTCGCTCTCACGACCTCCAGGCCGAAGATTCGATTCCGATCCCGGTATGCGGGGGGGGGAGGGGAGGGGAGGGGGGAGGGAGTAGTGTCACTTGCGACGTGTGCAACGGCGACGGGACGTAACACGTTGTGTGTACACACACGGTGCGCGCTCGCGTTCGTCGAGAGAGCGCGAATCCCGATCGATAGCGATCACCGACGCGACGGCTGGCCGTCGCACGCGCGCGCGTCGGACTAATGTCCGCTCTTACTACTTGCGGCGCGAGACGAGCGCGCTCGGGCCGCCGGCCGGCCGGCCGCGGCGACGCATTTTTCCAGCCGGCGAAACAATGCAGGTCGCTGGAAAACGATGGCTATCGCGGCCGGCTATCGATCCCGCGCTCGTAAAGCTCGCGGGACTCGCGCGCGCGGGACAGCGCTCCGTGCGTTATGTCGCCGCTCTCACGGAAGAGTGATGATATGTCGCTCGCTCGTTCTCGATGCTAAGTGCGAGTGCTACGTCGCCGATATGTCATCGCGAGATATGTCACAGCGGCGGCGAGTTCTGTCTCTCCTTAGGCCACGCTTCCGCGCCGCAGCTGAGCGGTCGGGCCGAGCGCGGTGCGTCTGATATGCTCCCGATGATATGTGTGCCTCGTCGTCGTCGGGCTGTCTATCCGTCATGCGCGAGTCATTGATATGTTTTCCACGGGCGATCCGTCCTGCAGCCTGTCGGCCGGGCTCTCTCGCACACCTCGCCGCTGTCGCACACCTGCCGGGTCGTGAGACGAGTCCGCGAGCTTCTCACTTGATCGTCGAGTCACCGACGAGGCGCGACTTCTCGCGACGATCTGCCGGGTCGTCCGGAGCGTCCTGAGCGCGCGAGTGCGAGTCGCGGCGCGCGACGCACCGAGCGAGCCGTCGTCTTCTTCCTTCAGCGGTTGTCGCCGTCGTGTGAGCGATCGAGTGCGAGTCGCCTCGCGTGTTTTCGATATCGGTATTCGATCGGCTACGTCCACCGGCCGGCTCCTCGGCTCTGTTTTCGAGTACCGCCCGATGAGCCGAGTATCGTCACGCGCACTGCACACCATTCACTTCCTCGGATCCGACGCACTCTCAAGCACTCGCGCGCGCGCGCGCGCGAGTTCTTCCAGTCAGGTCATCCGACTCGGCGCGACTCGATCCTCACATCGCGGGCACTCACATCGCGCGAGGGATATCCTCTCCCCGGCGCGTCGCCGCTCCTCGGCAGGAGCCGGTCTGCCCGTCGATGCACGGCATTCCACTTGAGGCTGAAAAGTCGAGATTGCGTTTCCTCGGGAAGCCCGGTGGTCGTGAGCGAACGACGACGATAACGACGACGACGACGACGACGACGACGACGACGACGGCGGCGGCGGCGGCGGCGGCGGCGATTACGACACGATCGCGAGTCCTCGAAGCGACTCGTCCTCGACGCCGGCGGACGCGCGACTCGCGAGTTCACCGGGTGCGCGAACCGGGCGGACGACCGCGACCACGGCCGCGACCACGACCACGACCACGACGACGACGGCGGCGCGAGAAAGAGAGAGAGAGGAAGGAACGTCAGCGGACGCGAAGGCTCGGCACGCGAGTTCGCCGGCCGACTGAAGCACGGTTCGACTGTCAGTCGACCCCACACCCGAAACTCGACTCGTCTTCGTCGAACGAGTCCGCCGTCTCCGTCGGCTCCCCCTTGGGGACAGGGGATGGTTCGGGGGTGCAGAGGGTGGGACGTGGGCAAGCGGCGCGCCTGCGCCAGGTGAATCGGCCGAGGAGAGCATTCGTTGCACTCGGGCTACCTGCCACTCCGCTACTCCCGTTCGTGCACGGCGCGATATGCGCCGCGAAAGAATTGATACCGAGAGGGGGAAGGGAGAGCGAACGGAAGAGAGCGAGGGCAAGAAAGAGAGAGAGAGAGAGGGAGAGGAGGGAGACACGCAAGGGATGCCGATGAATCAATTTATGCGAATGGATAATGTTTCTTCGGTAATCGAAAAATCGTCCGCCGCGCGGCCGACGACATTCGCCGCTCTCGATCGATATTGTTAATACTTGTTAATACTGCGGCATGTACTGCATACCCCGGCGAGTTCGACGTGCGCGCAAGGCGCCGTTGGCGCCGAGACAATGCGCACGGGCGGATTCATTTGGCGAGTGGACGATCTCTTCCCTTTGACCCGCGACCGCGATCGCGATGACCTCCGCTCGAAATCGGTATTGTTAATCCTTAAAAGCTACCATGAGAGAAAATCACGTTAATACTGTCATGGATGAAATTTCATCCCATTCATATATATTTCTTTTTTCTTTCAAAAATAAGAGAGGTCAAACAAATGCAATTAAATATTTCATTAATACTGGATTAATGATTAATTGATCGAATGAAAGGTAGAGAGAAGTTATCGTTTGCTGCGGATAATTCAACATCTAACAAGAGCGAAAATTCAAAATTCACATGGGGTGGAATTTCACCCGCGGCTGCCTTTAAGGATTAATAAACATACTCGATAACCGCAGAACGTGTGAGATTTGTCATGAGAAAGCGCGACACGCAAGAGATCATTGATTTTTTGAATTTTTTACCTCTGAAATGAAGAATACATATATCGAGATGAAATTTCAGCATTAACGTGATTTTCTTTGATGAGGGCTTTTACAGAGTTAACAACCGAGAGGATGAAGCGCTGAGGCGATGCTGACAAATTAGTTTACGAGTACGTGAGCGCCTCTTTAGTCGAATTCGATCATTCTTTGTAAGGCGATATCTTTGTCGCAGCCGCATGAGATTTGTTTTTCCGCCAGGTTACTAACATTCGTCAAGTACACCGTACGCATGTTGCGAAGCTCGATACAAGCGCGTGAGGAGGAGCTTAGTACCGTCGGCGAATTAATTCACGAGCAGATGATATCTCCTTGATTAGATAATTATTACAGCTAATTAATTACGTTTGTCTTTCGTCAATGTTGCTGACACTTGCCAAACACCGCGCGTATTACCGAGTCTGCGACGAGCGCGAAGCGCGTACAAAAGTAAATAACCGTATACAAAGGAAGATTATTAGGTAACCAAAAATTCGTGAGGTCTTCTATATCAAAAATTAAACAAGAGCAGAAATTTTCAGAAAAATATTATAATTGATATATGAATAAATAATTAATAATTCTTCGTTATCAATAATGGAGGGTCTTTTTGAACCATATCTTAATTAAATTTTTTAAACCATATCTGTGCAGTCCGTTCCTTTGCTCCTGCAATTTTTAACCCGAGTTTAAATTCATAACATGCTCGAATTACGCTCGATTCAACTGACACTTGAATAGAATGCATAATCACAAACCAAGAGATGCCACGATAAGGTTCAATAATTAACTCACGCAAGTCTGTGTTATATCAACACGCGCATTTAACGAGTCTCAACAAGATTCGACGACTCATTGCATCGAATTCAAACAAAAACCGCGCAAACTTTTTTGGTCACTTAATGTTATGCATATCTTTTCTACTATACGTACGCCGACTTGTGCCGTCTTAAATATAAATTTGAATCATTATTGGCGCTTGTGAAGGGAAACTGTTTCAGAGTGCTCAAGACGCATCTGTCCATTTTCCCCCCTTTGTACCAGAATCGCTTGCGTCATTTTCGCACCGCGCGCTCTCGAACATTTTTAGAGCACACGATAGCGAGCACATTAACAGCGACTGTGATAATTACGCAAAAGTTTAAATAGAAAGCTGGCGCTCATCGAGGAACCTGATATCGCGAGAGTCACATTTTTCGCGCGACCTCGAACTCGAACAAAAACCACACAAACTTTTTTTGGTTAGCCAATACTTCACGAGCGGATGATATCTTCTTAATCGAACAATTAAATACGCCCGATAAAATTTATTCTTTCGTCAATACTGCTATCCACTTTACCACGATGAACGTAAAAGAGTGAACACCGAGAGAGACGGCTACCGAGCCTCGAGCCGAGAGTCAATCTACCAACGAGATATTCCTTCGAAGTAATTACAACCGACGACATTGATCTCTCGTTAATATTGCTAATTCTATCAACTTATCAACTGCCGCGCAAATCGTGAGGCTTGATACTAGCGCGGAGAAAATAGATATCGAGACGCTGTTGGCGAAAATTAATTTACGAGCCGTATCTCCTTAATCGAAGAATCGTTACTGCCGAGGTTTGTTCACCGATCGATACTGTTAACACTCGTTAACTGCGGTATGTGTCGTTCGATAACAGCACGATACGTGCTTTAATCCTTTATGCCCTGACGGAGGCTTAAAAGCGCTGCTCTATATAAACGCTCATAAGTTTTTGAGCTTTCTTTCTCTGCGTCTTATCCTACATTCTCCTATCAGCACTTGTAAGTACCATCTTAAAATTTAATTATCAACTTGTTATAACATTTATTTTCCTATTCCTTACGTTTATAATATACCCTTTAATGTCCGTTTATAATAAACAAAAGACTCTTATTTAATTACACAAAAATTTAATACAGTCTTGGGTAAATTAATTCAAGGGTTGATTCGGCGAATCACTTTTTCATTTATGAACGAACAGCATTTCCTTCACCAACGAATTATTGAGCCAAAAGGAAGCTAAGTTCTTTACTTAGTATCGTTCATTATCGCTCGCTGTCCTTTATCCTGTGACAATATGTTAAATAATCGCGCAACAGACGTATATTATCTAGGAGATAAAAGACCGATAATGGAGCTCTCTCGACATTCGTCACGCTCCGACGCTTCCTTCTCTCGTATATAATAGCGCTGTTTTATTAACGGCGAAAAGTTTCAATAGCCGGGTTGTTTTCGACGGTGAATTTGAAACACTGAATTAATCAAATTGGCTGATCAAATTGGCTTCGGCTATAGTGGCCTAATGCTATAATAAGTTTCTGAGTTAGTGAGGTGGTTCTGATAATACTGGAGCGAATACAGAAAACTTACAGCAGCTGCATTAGACGAAATAACAGACCGCAGTTAAGCAAGTAAATATGATCCCCGGCGATTTCCGCTGCAGTTGGCTGTATTTCGCGGGAGGGGGGGAGGGGGAAACGGGAGAGAGAAAAAACGAGAGAAATCCCCTTGCTCAAACGTAGAATCATCGTGTCGGGTAATCGCTCGGCCGACACCCGAGAATGATCGAATCGATGAGATAAGTGGAGCGTTGGTTTCAACGTTGGCAAACTTCCGTCTGCCGCTATTTATGTCGCAAACTCGTAAATTCCGCTGCCAACGAATGCCATCGAAAGAGGCGGGAATTTTCACTTGCTCGATATTCAATTGTGTTGTCGATCGACGTCTGACGTCCGCGCGAATAACTCCATGTATAACGCAATTTCAGCACAACAAGCCTTACACTCTGAATGCCCGGCGGACTAGGCTCGTCTTAATGAGATTTTGCCGTTCATAGAAATCCCTGCAATCGACATCTCTCGGACTTTTCGCGGCGACTATAACGTTGCGCGAGACTGTAACGATACACACATACGCACATACACACACACACACACACAGCCCTACTCACGCTACCGATCGATAGCTCACACGTCGCGCTATTATAGCCGCGCTATTTCGATAATGAAATTCAAAATTAAACGGTGCAAGAGCTACTTACCACCCCGCCCGTGTCTTATTCCACGCCACCGACGGTAACCAAGTCATTATCGATTAATGAACGTCAGCCGTGATTAATCAATCGGATCGTTGTTCTCGACGCGTTCGACGATTTTCCACGGGCAACCCGCAGAATCTCAGCCCTGCACCGCCGCTCTCTCTCCCCCTCTCTCTACCACCCCCTGCCCTCCCTCCCTTGACGGCTCTCACCCCTGAGTTCGTCCCGCGTTGGCGGTGTGTGCCGACGATTCGATGTGAGAAATCAATCACCCCCGAAACCACTTCCGGCGAACTTCGCAGGCACGTCTCACCGCGCGTCGAGTCGAGATTCCTCGAGATGATGGCGCGTTCGTGGTTCGTCCCAGCATCGTGATGGACAGACGGCGGACTGGAACGATGTACGTATACGTACGTGTGCGTGCAGATGTGTGTGTGTGTGTGTGTGTGTATGCACGAACGGATATTTCGGAATGTGATTTCTCTCTACAAAGCGGATCTCCACCCCAATGAACGATCTGTTTCGTTAATTTTCCCAATCCGATCGACTCGACCGCAAACTCACAATTCGCATTTGTATTACATCGGTTTTGCATTTAATGGTCAAATCAAATTACATTTGACCCATTTCCCGCAACCGTAGTTTACTTTTTCAACCTCCCATATCGCAACGGTCTTGAGCCGAGAATTCGGCTCTAAGCCGGATTTCATCGAACTCGACAGCGCCACATAAGCTCTATTGTTTTTTGAAACTAAAGACACTTACCATCATCGAATAAGAATCAAAGGACTTTGAAGGACTTGCTTGAAGTCCAATCACCTCAATAACCCACCCCTGCGTTTAATCAATTTTATTTGTCAATGATCTTGTAGATGGATTTAGATATCTATCTTAGATATCTTTAGATATTTTAATATGTGAGAGCTCTGCTGTGTACCGATGTCTTCCTGCAAAAGCTGTTCCTGCATATAGACTCGTATAATTCAGGATGACCTCTGTACGCTCGCATCATGCTAGCAATCAGTTGCATTTAAATATTAGTAAATGTCACGTTATACGCTATTCACGCATGCTAATTCAGTCTTAAGTTGTCTCTTGCATCTTACACAAAAATGATTGTTAATAATGCATTCAGATCGCTGGGATTCATTAAGCATGATTTTAAGAATCC